AAAGAGAGGAGGAAGAATCACACAGGACTGGAAAACTGATCTCAAATGCTGACACATATGCTCAACACGTTCCAAAAAATAGATTTTGTTGTTTTTGGGAAAAACGTATAGCTTGGCCAATGTCGGATAGCTATGGCTAGGATTTAGTAAAGGTAGGCAAGAATTCAAAGATTTTGTTGTGCGTCAAGTCCAAATTCTTCTCTTTAGAAAATTTTCTTAGTAGCAGCATGACTCTATTACTTTTATTCTGGCTGTTGACTTGTTTGTCACACTACCCTGCAGAGCCAACTCTAAAGATAAGACAATCAACACGAAAAACAGTTGTTTGCAGAGAGTTCACAGAAGCTCTTTATATGAGAGTATTTGCATGCTGCATTCATTGAAAAAAAAAATTAAAAGGTGCCAATACTGGAACCTCTTAATGAGGCTGCGTCAGGCTACAAAGTGGAGAAAGACACTGTCACTGGAAAAGTGAGCAACTGCCCTGTCTTCTGTTCACACAAAAGTAATCTCTTAATAACACCTGTCTGCAGACAAAAACGACTGAGTTCCCTCTAGGTCCTGCTTTTCGTCTCCTCAAGCACAGGGTCAGTAAAGCAGAAGCGGCTCTTTATACCCTCAGAGCCTCTGACACCTCCAGTTTCCCCATCCCAAAATCTCTATGGCATGAAATCCCAGGTTACTCCCGCACACCTAGCGCTTCCCTACTGCGAAACGTTTCTCCTCCCAATGCTCCTTTCACGTGTGGCTGGGCAAGACAGCTTGTCCATGCTGTGACTGCTTCAGAGTGATACACATGATCATTCCTCAAGCAGCGAATAGAATACGACAGGCAACTGTTGATCTTATGCCTTTCCCTCTATTGGAGCACTAATTTGGGTCTCTCCTGCATCTAATCACTGATTTTTATAACATTTGCAGGAACATAAAGCTGCTGAGATTTCTATTCCTTTATAAAATTGCGCTGAAGCTGAGCAATAAATTCAAAAGCTATTATAAAGTAGAGGGAGAGGGATAAGGCAGGGAGAAAGGATTGACAGCACAATCACATAAGTCATTTTCCTTATCAAAGCAATCTTAAAAAAAAAAAAAAAAAAGAAAACCACACACACACAAACCGTAACTCCTCTGCAAGGCAACACACCGAGACACACGATTAGGTGAGGTGCGGTGACGTGCTTCAGCGCTGTACAGTGAAGAGATCTGACGCTTTGCACTGTGCAGCGTAGCAATGGTAATGTGGTTCACAGAGCAGCGTAGCTGCAGCCATGCAGTATTTATAGTACTTGCCTCAGCTCCTAGGCGCTGCTCCTTCCCCCCGGGTGAATTAGCCAGGATGCTCTGCCTCCCGCGCACAGTCCAGGGCAGCTGCTTCCACTGCTGCAGGGGGTCTCTAGTTCGCACCAGTGTGCTGCAGAACAAACATTCCCAAAAGGACACGGGTCAAATTTTCTCCCAAATTTGGCAAGTTGTATAGTCAGACATGTTCCGATATTTGTATGAATCGTAACTAGTGGAATTAAAACACCAAAATTTTCACAAGTCTTTTTTAATATGGTAATAGGTATATTTAATCAATCATCTACAGGGGAAGATACCTTGTTTGTGGGCATTTCCCTGAGGTTAGACAATTACATACCCACGCAGGAAAATTAAAGTTGTGAACTAATAAGAGCAAAGCTAAAGTAAATTCAGCTACAGAGTAGACAAGGCATGTCCACGAGCTCCTCTGCAGACAAACACGCATTCATTCTGCCAGTATTGTGAGTCACCCAAAAAAGAAGCCAACAAAAATCGCACGACCATATTGGCAAACTGGAGTGAATATTTCTGAACAACTTATTAACACGATTTCAGTGCCATAGTAACCCCAGTTTCTGCTTCTGAACTGATTCCCAGATGACCAGCCAGCTTATCTGCACAGCTGTCTGCACAGCTATAGAGAAACACCCAGCTCTTTGAATTTGTGAGGACAGCACAGAAAATGGACAGATAGAAACGCACAAAAATGAAGCATCTGGGAACATTCGACTAAAGGTTTAGCATGCTTAAGCCAAAACAATTTAAAACGATACATTTCATTCATTAATTTATCCTAACTTTTCCGAACAAAAACAGGCTTAACACAGTATATGTTATCCTTTATTACAGCACCTTAAGTGTTCCTTCACTACTTGCATGCACACACAAATATCTGCAAGCGCTTCACCTTGAAGGACCTCTTATTTGCATATAAGCAGCTTTTGAAATCAAAGATGATTTGTTATGTGACGACTTCAGCAGGTTTTAGCAAAGGTCTATAGAACGTGAAGACCAGAACAGTTCATGTGAATACACAGTACTTTACACTAAAGCTAACGCAGTCCAGCTATAGTAGAGGAAAGCACTAACTGCTGCCTTACCAGTACAAATTATTTCTGTGTTAAACTGAGATCTCAAATACTGAGGTAAGTACTAGTACCATGGCTTATGTCTCGGGCACGTGCGTATGATGGATTCAAATGCTGCTTGAGAGCGACCTAAAAAGCAAGCCCGATCTATTCGATTCTAGCTCAAAGGAGGAAGTCACAAGCTGAAAAATGAGTTTAGCAAGGGAAGAGCTGTTAGAGATTTTGTAGGACTACTACCATCCAATTCTGACCTTATATAAAGCTAGAGCAAACAAATTCTGTTGACAGGGTTGAAATGGGAAGAGGAACAGGGAAATTATTCAAGAAAGCGGCATGGAAAAGATAGTTATTTAATTCATCAGGAGAGACCATAGCTGGGCACATATTTAACACCCAGAAGAAGAACTCCACATAGACCTTTTTAGAACTAAATATGAAGTCCACAGCTGCTTGAACATTTACCGAAGTGAATTCACGTATCTGTGATTCTCTTGGTTTTCTGTTATGCTCTACTACTCTAATCTTTTTTCCCAGCAGTCCAAACATAATGTCTAAAATACTTGGATTTTGTGTGTTAACAGAAAATGGTCTTCCAAATGGCAAGCTTACACCAGCAACAGAAATAGGTTTAATTTTGTCTAAATACAGACAAGTATAAACACATGCTGTTAATTTCACTCACGCTTAGGGGGGAGAGAGAATTTCCACATTCTCGCACATTCTCTCTCTAATCAAAGACACTTAACAGATATAGGAAAAAGGCAGCATCAGGAATTCAGGGAGCAGAATATGTTAAAATGAGGCAGGTTAGTGCAAAACCATAGATGTTCCACGCAAGTTTAAAGTGGATGTTAAGAACAGACTCCTCACTCACCCTTTCCCACCCAGACACCAAACAGCTTCTTCTAATTCCCTGGACCTGGTGGTGGAGGGAAGACGGGTCCAGGCCGCAAAGGTGCGAGCAGGACACAATCCTACAGGTCTGAGCTGAGCTCGGTCACCTCAGAGGCCAGCTGGGCAGGTCCAGACCATTTCCATGACAAGCTGTGCAACAGGACTAAATACGGGCTAGTTCTACTTTCCTAGCGTTTTGTGCAACGTTTCACAACCCTCCACTCGGCCCTGCACTACTGCTGACTTAATTCTCCTGGCCCTTATTAAACTTGTTTCCAAAATACTTAGCAAACTAAACAGTTGTTACCTCACTTAATAGTTTTGACCTGTGTGCAAACTGCAGCTCTCTTTAACACCTTGTTCTCTAACACAAGAGGCCATGTATAACGCGGAAGGAGTAGCACGCGGGCTGCAGGAGGAGGACATGCAACTCCCTTGCTGAAGCTCAGGGAGGCAGTTTGCCTCTGCTCCACGGCCACAAAGCTGGGAATAGCTGGCTGGCAGATCGCCATAACCCCCTGCATTTGG